AACTTTAAAACACCACCATGTAGATCAAAGTACTTGAACCCCAAAGAACCCTTTGGGAATCGTTGGAGCCAAGACTGTGAGAAGTCCTTTCAAACTATTATTGAAAAACTTACCACTTCGCCAGTTCTTGGCTACGCTGACGCAAAACTCCCATATCTAGTACACACAGATGCTAGTACGACCGGACTCGGTGCAGCGCTATACCAAGTGCAAAACGGTGTCACACAGGTAATCGCTTATGCAAGTCGCGGTTTAAGCTCTAGTGAAACTAGGTACCCTGCGCACAAGTTGGAGTTTCTAGCCTTAAAGTGGGCCATAACAGATAAGTTTCATGACTATTTGTATGGGAACACATTCACTGTCATTACTGATAATAATCCGTTAACTTACCTCTTAACAACGGCAAAACTCGATGCAACGAGCTATCGTTGGCTAGCTGCGTTGTCCACCTATAATTTTGACATCAGATACCGTGCAGGTACACAGAACGTTGACGCGGATGGCCTGTCTAGGAGGCTGCATGATAAACCTGAAGACAACTCAAAATTCACTGAGGAATGCCAACGACTAGATGAGTTCCGATCTCATCTTTTATCCTCTGTCAAAGAAGTCGAGCTTCAACTTCAAGCCGAAGCAGTGAAGGCAACATGCCAAAAGCACATGGTCTTGGATGAGACTGATTCTCCTTGTGGTTTAGTTCAGTCACTTGCCATGTCTGCAGCGGCCATTCCAGACCTATTCCAGTTGGAAGACAATAGTGACAGTTTCTTTGCTGTGCCCAAGTATAACCATGCTGACCTTGTCTCCTTGCAGAGGAAAGATCCAACCATTGGCCGAGTCATTCAGCTGCTTATGACTGACAATAAACCGCCAACTGATACTATTGCAGAACCCCCGGTGGTTCTTAACCTTTTGAGAGAGTGGAAACGGTTTGAGTTTCAAAATGATTTACTGTACCGGAGACGCCAATTAGGACCAGAGACATCATTGCAGTTAGTCTTGCCTGATTCATTACGTTCAACAGTCATGCAAAGCCTACATGATGATATGGGGCATCTTGGGGTTGAACGTACGACAGATCTCATTCGGTCCCGTTTTTACTGGCCAAGAATGGCTAGTGATATCGAAATCAAAGTTAAAACTTGCGAAAGATGTATCCGTCGGAAGGCCCTCCCTGACAAAGCTGCTCCAATGGTGAGTATTACCACCACCAGACCTATGGAGTTAGTTTGCATGGATTTTCTCTCCATAGAACCAGACAGTAAGAACACTAAAGATGTCTTAGTGATTACAGACCATTTTACAAAGTATGCAGTGTCCATCCCAACCAAAGATCAGAAAGCCACCACCGTCGCGAAGAACCTGTGGGAACATTTTTTAGTCCACTACGGGTTTCCTGAGCGTCTTCATAGTGATCAGGGACGGGATTTCGAATCACGTACAATCAAGGAACTTTGTTCTTTACTTGGTATCCGTAAAGTCAGAACGAGCCCTTATCACCCTCGTGGCAACCCCGTTGAACGGTACAATCGTACATTACTCAGCATGTTGGGAACTTTACAAGCCACTGAGAAACATCACTGGCGCGATTTTGTAAAACCACTTACTCACTCGTACAATTGTACAAAAAATGACGTGACGGGATACTCTCCCTACGAGTTAATGTTCGGTAGGCAGCCTCGGTTGCCTATAGATATTGCCTTTGGGTTACCGCATTTGAACAAGCCCTCTATAACTCATTCTCAGTATGTTAAAGAACTGAAGAGTCATCTGGAACAGAGTTATGACATTGTCATAAAAAACTCTCAAAAAACAGCGAGGAAGAACAAAGAACGGTTCGACAGAAACATTCGTGAGTCCACACTAGGTGTGGGAGATCGTGTTTTAGTCCGAAATCTTCGCTTAAGAGAAAAGCATAAATTAGCAGACAAATGGGAGCAAACAGTGTATATAGTTCTCAAACAGATGGAAAACTTGCCAGTATACACTGTAAAACCAGAGAACGGAGAAGGACCCAACAGAACACTCCACAGAGATCTTTTACTGCCTTGTGGTTTTCTCTCTTCATTAGAAAATGAAACAGAACGCGTTACGAAACCTAGCAGACCTCATACAAGACAGAGTTCAGCCTTAGAACCTGACCCAGATGAGCCACTTGACGAAGAGGTAGATGAGTTTTATTACTCTGATCTTCCACAAGTGCTAAACCGACCATCCTATCAAATAGCGGTCACCTTGCCAAATAGGGAACTCATAGCAGATTCAGGACCGGTAAATAATATTCAACAACAAAACACACTATCCTTACACACAGGGGATCGCAAGGAACCAACCTTAGCTGGTAATGAAAATGCTGAATTGTCCTTACTTGACAAAGGCATCAACACCGAAACATTCTTACCTGAAAGAGTGAAAGAAGCAGCAACATACTTACCTGAAAAAACGAAAAAAAACGAAGTATACTTACCTGACGTAGAAACGGGGGATGAAACTAACACAAACCTACCTCAATTGGATGGTGTCCTAAAGTCGCAGCAACGTGATGTAAGTTTTGAACCCATCATACACGATCAGACACATACATCTGAAAAGACCAATGTCTTAGAGAATAGCTCATCAGCTCTGTCGGAAACAGAGAGCTCACTTCGTCCTGTCTCAGTTGAGAATCAAACCGAAACGGATGAGCATGATACTGTGCAACCAGAGATGTATGTCAGGAGATCTGAACGAAGTAGTCAGCCTCCTCAAAGACTAACTTACTCTCAATTGGGCAATCCACTAGTGACCGTAGTTAGGTCCCTTTTCCAAGGACTTAATAAAGCTTTTATTGACTCTCTTACTCAAGAAGTTGTGTACCCCGTAGAAACAATGCACAGGGACGTGCATGATATTTAATGGGGGAGGATGTAACCCAGAAGCTAGAACCTTAATGAGGTATTAACTAATTGGCTTACTAATATGATCCATCCTCAATTTAGATAAAATATAAAATATAAATTAAGGAAATTAACAATACTAATTAATAGATATCTAATTAACTAATAGATAATTTCATAATGAATTATTGGAAGGGTGAATAACTAAAATAACGAGTTTAATATTAAACATCGGTTAAAACAAGAATCTTGAACATCACTAACAGAAACAGAAGAGGAAAGCTGTATACTATTGGTCCAGGTGGGAATCTGAAATTTCATTGGCTGAGAGAAATAAGTCCCGCCTCCGCGAAATAAAACCGTGCGACGCAGCTGAGCGAGAGGAGAGACAAACGGCTGTGCAGCACGCAGATACAGAAAGCAAAGACTGAGCGGTTAGAGAGAGAGAGAGAGAGAAAAAAAAACAACGGTCGAGGCCGTGAAGAACCCTGATTTGGGTGCCGCATAGATAGAGGGAGAGGCGGACTTGACTCCTTCTAATAAGAGCTAGGAACTTGGAACCAACGCGGTGAGTAAAGAAAAAAGAAGAGAAAAAGCTAACGATGCAACTTAAAAAAAAAAAGGAAACTTAAATAGCTTATCAAATTAATTCCATTCTTATAGATTTGTGTGGAGACGACAGAGTGAACCAATCCTCTGTAGGAGGGAACCGTTGGAGCGCGTTGGTGAGTGAATGAGATTAAATTCAGTAAATTATTAAATTCAAAAAGCTAATTACAGCAACCGAGGTGACAGCAGTGGGCTGCTAGACGTTAGATCCCAGGAGTTAACATCTCAAACTACCAGTTAACGGTGGTAGGGCATATAGGAGTTAACGGCTCAAACCGCCAGTTAACGGCGGTAGGGCCTAGATGTACAAGGTCCTCAGGGGCGTTATAGCTAACGCCATAGAATTAGCAATGCGTCCCTTAACCAAACATTTAATAATAAAAAAAAATAGATAAATAAAAATAAATAAAAGCTAACTGATTAGGGAGGAATTATTTTACAAAGGTGGACCAAAGGACCAGAATTTATATTTTGTTGAATTTTGTTATAGAACATTTTATTTATTTATTTATTTATTTATTTATTTATTTATTTATTTATTTATTTATTGTGTTACAGATATACAAGGTGTCACAATGCTGTATAGAAACACAACTAAATGTATCCTTGTTGTCATGAATGTATTTCTTGTTGAATAGTGTAGAGTAATAGAATCTAACTGAGCCTATTGAGCTGAACAATTGTTGTCATATGTAATTATATTTCCAGAGCTACTGAGAATTATTTTAATAGACAATCAAATTGATGTTATGTTAGTTGAACTGTGAACCCAAACATGATTGGCTATGCCAATAGAGTGAAGCATTTGTTTAAGTCTGTAAGACTTTATGCTGTGATGTGACGAGAAGGGTCGATGCCAACTCGCTAACAGTCCTGTTGTTTACAGGCTGGGTTTTTTTTTTTCCTTGGGTTTGATCCCGACTCCTATGATCACTCACTTGGAACGAGAACTGGATTTCTTCCTGACGAGGGAGATGGCGAGCCTTAACCACTGAACGAACCAGGACATCTCAAGTAACTGAAGAGCAGACTGCTCTCTTCTGTGAACAATCTCAACGGTGCGGTAGGAAAAAATCGCACCACCGGACTCTGACTTTCACCCCAAGCGTGGGGATTTGACTTGACGCCGGCTGACTTGTGACTCATATGATCAAATCTCATACCGACCATTTTACTATTGTCGATTGTTTTCATCTGTTTTTGTGTGTTATCTTTATGTGTTATATTTCCCATTATTATTAAAATTTAGTATATAAACCGTTTCATGCTATACCCGTGACTCCAGCCATTCTTAAACAACCTCCAATTCTCCCCGAACCTAATTATTGGCCCATTTGTTTATTTTTTCTTTTAATTATCTTATTGTATCCTGTAATCCGGTTACATAAAACTGCCAAGTTTTATGTAACCGGATTACAGGATACAATAAGATAATTAAAAGAAAAAATAAACAAATGGGCCAATAATTAGGTTCGGGGAGAATTGGAGGTTGTTTAAGAATGGCTGGAGTCACGGGTATAGCATGAAACGGTTTATATACTAAATTTTAATAATAATGGGAAATATAACACATAAAGATAACACACAAAAACAGATGAAAACAATCGACAATAGTAAAATGGTCGGTATGAGATTTGATCATATGAGTCACAAGTCAGCCGGCGTCAAGTCAAATCCCCACGCTTGGGGTGAAAGTCAGAGTCCGGTGGTGCGATTTTTTCCTACCGCACCGTTGAGATTGTTCACAGAAGAGAGCAGTCTGCTCTTCAGTTACTTGAGATGTCCTGGTTCGTTCAGTGGTTAAGGCTCGCCATCTCCCTCGTCAGGAAGAAATCCAGTTCTCGTTCCAAGTGAGTGATCATAGGAGTCGGGATCAAACCCAAGGAAAAAAAAAAACCCAGCCTGTAAACAACAGGACTGTTAGCGAGTTGGCATCGACCCTTCTCGTCACATCACAGCATAAAGTCTTACAGACTTAAACAAATGCTTCACTCTATTGGCATAGCCAATCATGTTTGGGTTCACAGTTCAACTAACATAACATCAATTTGATTGTCTATTAAAATAATTCTCAGTAGCTCTGGAAATATAATTACATATGACAACAATTGTTCAGCTCAATAGGCTCAGTTAGATTCTATTACTCTACACTATTCAACAAGAAATACATTCATGACAACAAGGATACATTTAGTTGTGTTTCTATACAGCATTGTGACACCTTGTATATCTGTAACACAATAAATAAATAAATAAATAAATAAATAAATAAATAAATAAATAAATAAATAAAATGTTCTATAACAAAATTCAACAAAATATAAATTCTGGTCCTTTGGTCCACCTTTGTAAAATAATTCCTCCCTAATCAGTTAGCTTTTATTTATTTTTATTTATCTATTTTTTTTTATTATTAAATGTTTGGTTAAGGGACGCATTGCTAATTCTATGGCGTTAGCTATAACGCCCCTGAGGACCTTGTACATCTAGGCCCTACCGCCGTTAACTGGCGGTTTGAGCCGTTAACTCCTATATGCCCTACCACCGTTAACTGGTAGTTTGAGATGTTAACTCCTGGGATCTAACGTCTAGCAGCCCACTGCTGTCACCTCGGTTGCTGTAATTAGCTTTTTGAATTTAATAATTTACTGAATTTAATCTCATTCACTCACCAACGCGCTCCAACGGTTCCCTCCTACAGAGGATTGGTTCACTCTGTCGTCTCCACACAAATCTATAAGAATGGAATTAATTTGATAAGCTATTTAAGTTTCCTTTTTTTTTTTAAGTTGCATCGTTAGCTTTTTCTCTTCTTTTTTCTTTACTCACCGCGTTGGTTCCAAGTTCCTAGCTCTTATTAGAAGGAGTCAAGTCCGCCTCTCCCTCTATCTATGCGGCACCCAAATCAGGGTTCTTCACGGCCTCGACCGTTGTTTTTTTTCTCTCTCTCTCTCTCTCTAACCGCTCAGTCTTTGCTTTCTGTATCTGCGTGCTGCACAGCCGTTTGTCTCTCCTCTCGCTCAGCTGCGTCGCACGGTTTTATTTCGCGGAGGCGGGACTTATTTCTCTCAGCCAATGAAATTTCAGATTCCCACCTGGACCAATAGTATACAGCTTTCCTCTTCTGTTTCTGTTAGTGATGTTCAAGATTCTTGTTTTAACCGATGTTTAATATTAAACTCGTTATTTTAGTTATTCACCCTTCCAATAATTCATTATGAAATTATCTATTAGTTAATTAGATATCTATTAATTAGTATTGTTAATTTCCTTAATTTATATTTTATATTTTATCTAAATTGAGGATGGATCATATTAGTAAGCCAATTAGTTAATACCTCATTAAGGTTCTAGCTTCTGGGTTACAAAAGCAAAACCTATCTCCTAGCTGACTACCGTATTTTCCGGACTATAAGCCGCTACTTTTCCCCTGTGCTTTGAGGCCTGCGACCAATATCACGGTGCGGCTTATGTGTTGGCCAACAACCACTAGAGGCACTTTCCAGCAGTAAAGTGAGACAGGCACGGCAAAACGTTATGCGTGGAAGAAGACACTCTTTGATTTAAAGCGGCACGTTTACACATCAGACACTCCCTCGTCATGGAAAACACACGGAGGAATGCATATGCTGCAGCTTACAAGTTAAAAGCGATCGATCTGGCCATCAAACAAGGAAACAGAGCCACTGCACAGGAGCTTGGCATAAATAAATAAATCAATGGTGCGACGTTGGAGGCGGCAGCGGGATGAACTCAGTCAATGTAAGAAAATGAAAAAAGCTTTCAGAGGAAATAAAAGCAGATGGCCGGAATTGGAAAATATACTTGAAGACTGGGTGAACACAAAAAGAGCAGACGGTCGAGGTGTTTCTACTGCGCAGATCAAGCTTAAAGCGCAATCGCGACTGAAAAGCAAATTGAAGATTTTGGGGGTGGACCTTCTTGGTGTTACAGATTTATGAGCTGAAAAGGCCTGTCTATTAGGACACGGATGACTCTGTGTCAACAACTCCCACCTGACTACGAGGAAAAGCTGAAAAACTTCCGCACATACACTCAAACAAAGATCCTAGAGAACTGCATCGCTCCAGATGACATCATAAATATGGATGGAGTGCCTTTGATGTTTGACTTGCCTCTCACAAGGACTGTTAACAAGAAAGGCGAATTATCGTTCACGCTGAAAACAACTGGCCATGAGCGAACTCACTCCACCTGTGTGCTGAGTTGTGCCACATCTGGGCAAAAGCTTCCACCAATGGGGATTATTAAGAGGGTTACAATGCCAAAAAAAAAAATTCCCAAAAGGAATTGTGGTGAAAGTCAATGAAAAAGGATGGATGGTAGAAAGCCTAATGAAAGATTGGCTTACTGAGTGTTACGGGAAGCGATCCGGGGGATTTTTTCATGGAACAAAAGTGTTGCTTGTTCTGCACAGCATGAGGGCCCACATCAGATTCTGTGAAAGCATCCATCAAAAAAAAAAAAAAAAAAAAAAAAACTACTCAATTCCAGCTGTGATTCCAGGGGGCACAACAAAATATTTGCAGCCGCTGGACATCAGTGTGAATCGTGCATTTAAAGTGGCACTCAGAGATAAGTGGGGAGCCTGGATGACGAGTGGGGAGAAATCCTTTACAAAAACTGGTCGCGTGCGGAGAACAACTTAAGCTCGTTCGCGAGTGGATACTGACTGCATGGAGCAAGGTGAAACGTTCCACCATCACCAACGGGTTTCGAAAGGCTGGGCTGCTGGGTGATAAAGAGGACAGCGCAGGGGTGAATGTGCCTGTAGATGAAAGTGATGACAGCGAAAACGAAAGAGGGACTGGAGCTGAAGTCATTCTGAGGCTGTTCAATTCAGACACTGAAGAGGAGGACTTTAATGGCTTTAGTGCGCAAGAGGAAGATGAGAGCGAATCACTTTTTCTGGTAGGCAAGTGTGTTTTATTTACTAACCAGGCATGCTTTGTGTGCTGTTTTTATTTTCTAATCATCCAGAGCTTATTAATGCTGTGTCAGCGCTGTTTTTATTTTGTAACCATCCAGAAATATGAATGCTATCAGTGCTGTTTTCTTTTCTAAACTTGCAGGCACATTCACCCGTGTTTAAAATTCATTTTGTTGAATTAAAACAACAACAAAAAACTTCTGTGTAGCGTCTTTTTGTCTAATTATCTTATGTTACAGCCATGTAACATTATGCGTTGTGCGCCGGAGACCTGCATGTGGCTGCTGCGCCGCAGCTTATATTTGAGTGTGGCATGTGTGTGTGTGTGTGTGTGTGTGGAAAACCTTTTTTTCTTCTGGTGCGGCTTTTATTGAGGTGCGCTCTATAGTCCGGAAATTACGGTAAGCATGGCTGAGATCACGGTTCAAGCAGGCAAGGAGTAAAAAAAGGAGTAGATCCTATTACCCACTGTTTATATCTGGCTGTTGTATTGTTTGCTGTAATGCTATAAAACCACTATTTCCTTGAGCTATCCTGAAATGATGTAGAGGTTACGTCAGTCATGCCCAGCAGACAGCAGAACACATATATTGAGCTGAATGTAGCCATTCAGCCTAAGCTCCATGCTCTGAACATGAACTCAGAACTCAAGGTCAGAGGTTTTCAAAACACTGAGAAAAATAAAAACTTGAAAACACAATCTCACCAACCATTATGAAGTGAAGAGAACAGAAGATGGATGTTTCCTTTCCCTCCCTCTGTCTTTCTCTCGGTGTGAAGTTAACACCACCTCCTGCCCACCCTCGGAGCAGGGAATTGAATCTTAATTACCTAGATGTTCCATCTTATGTTTCATGGATGAGTGGCCTCATTTGTTAGTTAAAACCTCTCCACACTTTCCATGCGCCCTGTGTTCGAGAACTCATGTTCTTCATGTGAACCTCGTTAATGTCCTGAACATCCGCTCTAATGGGTGACATGTTGGATCTAACATGGTATCGATAAGCCAGCTTCGTTTACTGGGTTTATTGTATCTCGAGGACTGTGGGTCATGTTGTGTGTTTCACCTTACTTTTCTCATTTCATAAGGATGTTTAGTTAAATAAGTGCTGGTCCTAAACTGCTAACTCATTGTATGTAATTGGACTGTGTTGTTCAACTAAAACAAGCAATTCAAAGTTTACAGGGCAAGTCACCCCCTACCAGAGTCTTAAGCTGGGTGGACACTGTGCAACTTTTTCACTCGTAGCACTCAGCTTCAGCTCAAACTGTACGACTTCCTCGCAGGGCAGATCTCACGAGTCATGTGCTCACACAGCTCACACTGTGCGTCTGGTAGCAACACATCGGACCTAAAAAATATGCTAAAAATAGCAGTTTTTACACAACACATCAGACTTTTTTGTCTTGTTTTGCCTGTTGTCCTTCGGGAGTGCTGCGGGAGGACACAGGGATTTATGGGGGTTGGCTGAGGAAAACGAAATAAAGAAAGTAAATCTGTGTTTTGTGATCAGTTTACTTTGACATGAACATGACAAACACGCTTTCTTGACAATCCTTGTCATTGTGTGTAAAAGAAAAACGTGCAGAAATAAAAACGAACAACGTGTGTTATTAGGGAAATAGTAGGTGAGCGGTGTTGATGCATGATTGCGCATGCGCCGTGAGCGGTTCTGGTACTTTTTGGGTCACAGCCGCTCGCTGCACCGCTTCAACCCTCACGAGGAGCGAGCTAAATATCAAACACTCCAGAAGTCCGTGCGAGCTCATGATTGCTGATCGGTAGCTGGTCACGTGGTGTTAATCGCCTCTCGTAACTCCCTGTACACTACACGACGCTCAGCGCAAAACTCGCCTCGATCTTGTGGATTCTCGCACGAGTGGAAAATCGGCTCTAAAAAGTGAAAAAGTCGCACAGTGCACGCCCGGCTTTACACCACTCCCACTTCCTTATTGAAAAATGCAATAAATGCTGCTGCCTGGCAGACCGAGAGGGCGGAGCCGCTAACACACACACACACACACACACACACACACACACACACACACACACACACACACACACACACACACACACACACACACACACACACACACACACACACACACACACACTCAAACAGGTTCACAACAACATTGTGACATCATATGTTACCAGCTAGCGTCATATTGTACCTCTAAGCTAATAGTGTTGTCAGATTTTGATGCAGATGTAGTGCTGAGTTTTAACCTGAAGGTGTGCAACACTGACAGTTTTAGGCAGAATATTTAAAGAGCAAGTCACCCCCTACCAGAGTGTTACTTCGCTCCCACTTCCTGTTAGAAAAATGCAACAAATGCTGTTGCCTAGCAGATTGAGAGGGCGAAGCCACCAACAAACACACACACACACGCACACACACACACACACACACACACACACACACACAGATTCACAACAACATTGTGACATCATATGTTACCAGCTAGCGTCATGTTGTACCTCTAAGCTAATAGTGTTGTCAGATTTTAATGCAGATGTAGTGCTGAGTTTTAACCTGAAGGTGGGCAACACTGACAGTTTTAGGCAGAATATTTAAAGAGCAAGTCACCCCCTACCAGAGTGTTACTTCGCTCCCACTTCCTGTTAGAAAAATGCAACAAATGCTGTTGCCTAGCAGATTGAGAGGGCGAAGCCACCAACAAACACACACAAACACACACACACGCGCACACACACACACACACACACACACACACACACACACACACACACACACACACACACACACAGTAAATTTACGAAAAATGCACTAAAGTGCTAAACTATTGACTACACGTGTCTGCAGCACAATTAGACACACATTCATATAGTTTATCAGCAAAGTTGATTTGGGGGTGACTTGCTCTTTAAATTTTAATTAAGATGGACTGAAGTGCCAAATTATTGACTGCATGTGTCAACAGCACGGTTAGACACTCATTCATATAGTTTAACAGGGGAAAAAAAAGTTGATTTGGGGCATCTTGCTCTTTAACCCTCTGGAGGCAGGCGTTACAGATTTACAACAGTTAAAACCTACCTACCTGGTTACCCCACGTACGTATTTCATGAGCATTTTTTAACTCAGAAGTACCCCTGAAAGACTTAGTTGTTCATCCATTCATCAAAACTTATTTTGAGCCTGAGAGGGTTAATTACACTCAACCTTAGATGGGAAAGTCAGTTCAGAAAAGATCAACTAGCTACAGCAAGATCTTCTAAAGCTTTTCAGGACTTTGGGACAAAATTACATGTAACTTGTACAAGTTGCATGTAATATTGTTTCAATTCTACCTCCATATACTAACCGAAGGGATGGAAGTAACATTATACATATATACATTCCTACTTAATTTTAAAATAGTAGTGATTGTATTTAAAGTAACACAGAGCAGTTTCCTGCTACCGTAAACAACCCTGCGATAGCCAGCTGTAGCTAGTGCTACCAATGAGCTAATGCTAACATGAGCCAAGTCTTACTAAATAAGCCACAAATCAAAAAGATCCACAATGCTGGACAAATAATATTATTACTTACAAGTCTAGTAGCAACAAAGCCAGCTCACCATCCTTTAAGATCCTTCTGTTTGCTAGGTGTGTTTTCTAAGCTACCAGGTTAGTTCTAGAACTTTTTTGTGCAGAGCTGGTGAACATCTGAGTTTTCTTCTCACATGGCATTATTCAAGCTGTTTCTTGCTCTTAATCTGATTCATACACAACCAAGCTATCACACTCACAAAAAAAAAATGGAGAAAAGAAATTCTTCACGTTGTTTCTGTGTAAGCACAATAAATTCATCTGCATATGTCAGCAGCCAAAACTCTACTTGTACCTCCCGAGAAGCAGAAAACCCCTGAGTGACTTGTGAAAGCCTGTGTGAGTGAGAACAGGCAGAAGAACATCCGAGACAGAAACACAGACACGCAGAGGGAGGGAGAATCAATAAAAACCAACAGTGCTGTGAAAGTCAAACATTATTTGCCATGTAGATTTCCCTCCTCCGTCATTTTTGCATTCATTTTGCATCCCAGAGACCCCTCGTGTGCAGCGCTTGTGAGTGTGTGAATGTGTAAGTGGATTGTGTGTTGCCTAAAATTAGATGAAACTTTGATGAGGCTCTCAACACGGGCGTGCCTGTGGCGGTACAGTGCGCCTGCCGTCCCCGCGTATGCCTGTGTGACATTTGCAGCTCATTACTCAAACACACAACCCTTTGAAAGAAATAGAGGCCTACTTTTATTTATTTAGAGGCAGGATATACAGCAAAAAGTCTGATAAAATGCACAGAGTCAGTGAGACAAGAAAAACTTCACAACTACATGTTTTTCTCCTCTTTTCATTCTGACGCACTGTCAGTGTAGCTTTAGAAAATTTTAATACCCCCAAAATAAGCAACTTTGTAGGAAAAAAGGGGGGGGGGAAGTGCTGTCAACACTAGGCTAAATGAATGCACAAAAAGGCTGTTTTTCTCTTTAATGTCGTTCACCAATATTGCACACAATCTGCAG